CATCAGCAGCTGCCAAGAGCAAAAGCAATAAATTATACATGGGAGTAAGATTAAACTAAATCTCCACAGCAAGAGTGCACTTCAAACGCATTATTACTTACATTCCTCATTTTCCCTTGGCTTTCTGCATCTTAAACAGATCCAAATGCAGAGGAGAAGTGACAAAAAGCCGACAACAGAAGCAACTACAGCCATGATGATTGTTCGAGTTGTTTTGCTCCCATTTCCATTTCCAATTCCTTGAAAATCCAAAGTTTTGGATGCAAAAAAGTAAACAAGAGTCTGTTTCTTAAAATTTTGATGTCAGGCAAAATGGCATTAAAGTTGTCCTGTCTATGTTCAGGGATAGAACCAAATCCAAATGTTAGTTTGATAAAATATAAATTATATAAAGAATTACAACTAGAATAAAATTTGATATAAGTTACACTAAGGTAACTCAATCTTTACTATTTTTTAATATTTTTCATTGTCCAAATAAAATTGTTTGTCTTAAAAATTGGTTACAAAGACATAAATGGTCTATTTACCTAGGTCCTAAATGTTTTCTTTAGATTTAAAATGATCCATATGATTCAAACATCAAAAACAGTTATTGTACTAAATAAAAATTAATGTACCATATTAAACATTTTTCAAAAGCTGAAGGGGAGGCAGCTGCCCCCCCTTGTCCGTAGTTAGCTCTGTCCCTGTCCATGTTAGCAATATACCAAAAGCAACCATAATTACGAAATTACAAGCTTCTCCATTTAAAAGAATCCCTTTTTCCATCCCAGATTCCCAATGTTAAAAAAGTTATCGGCTTATAATCATAAATGTTTGCTGTTTGATTGTTTAGATTGTAAAATAGTTTTTTTTTTTTAATCATAAACTTGTAATAAGAGGGGAAGGATACAGTTAGAAGGAAATAAAAGACGGGGGTATTTTTTAGAAATACCTTTTGAGTTTGGAGCTTAAAATAAAGTTACCCAAAAAGAAAGCAAGTGAACTTTACCTTCTGTTGGCCGAGGTGAGGATGGCGGCGGTGATGGCTGGGGAATGTCATCTACGGCTGCAAAAAATGGGTCGATCTCGTATCTCAAATTACAGCTGGGTTGCAGAACTCTGCATCCGATCTTCCCGTAGCAGTAAGAAGAGATCTTAGCGGTTGCCAATGTCAGACAATCGCTGCAATTTTGCTGAGACAGATCGGGAGTGCACTGCATGAGTGCGTAAATTCTCAGAAAGAAACCCGGACCCGTCACGTTATCCGCTGCATACTTGCGAAGAGAGCCTCCGGTTGCCGCACGACTGCTCAAATCAGTCAACAAGGAGATCAAAGCTTGATTGAACCCGTCAACATCCGATGTGCTGCTAACATTAGAAATTGCAAAGTAAGGACTGCCTTTCATGGATCCATAGAGTTGTTGATCTGAGTAGCGCAGCGTACAGAATTCCGAATATCCGATCGCCTCTTTGTAGTTGGGACATTGCTGCTGGAGCTCGGAGACGGTCTCGTTCAGGCATCTTCTGCAAACGTCCTCCATTTGGTCTCCCCTGCAGAGTCCGATTGCATTAACCTGGTCAGGGCTCCGACCAACGGACAAATTGTAGAACCCATAACTGAAATCCACCGTGGTGGACAGCTGAAAAAACAGACGGTTGAGGTTGGTACCGTAAGTACTGTTGGTGGTGAAGTTGCCATTGTTAACACAAGCAAACCGGAAGTTGAGATCTGCAGCGGAAATGAGACTTATGAGAAAAACAGAGAAAAACAAGATCAGAAGCAGTCTTGAACATCCCATTTGTCTTCCTTCAAAATCCATTCATTGAAGGGAAAATAGCCATTGATGTCTGATCGATGAGGTTGTAAAGTTATCAAGTTGCAGCAACTTGCCATTAATTTAATATGAAATTAATTATGAATAGATGAAGATGGGAGTTTGTCGATTTGTGACACAGCCGCCATGGATGAATTTTGACCACAAGGCGCCATAGAACCAAAGTTTTGAAAACCGTACCACACTGGTAGGTCGGACCGGTTGAACCCGTATCCGATGATACAAATGGTTTGGTTGTATTTTTTAAACCGTTTGAACTGTAAACCACTTGAAACCAATAAAAACCGTTGAAATCACTCAAACCAATAAACCATTCGACCAGACAATTTAATAGTTGAGGATAAAATCTTCAAAATTTTGTCTCCTAAACCAATAAAACATTAATTTTGACTCTTTACCACTAAGACGATACTATTCTCTTATTGTTGAATGCTTGAAATTTTATTTATCTAATAGAATTCTCAAAACTTTTAACTAAATTATTAATGACACCCATGGAATTCAAACATCCATTTTCCATGATATGAAATAAAAACTCAACCACTTAAGACATAACCTTTTATTTGTTATTTTTTGCTTTATCATATATTTATTCTATCTTTAAAACCACAATTATATTAAAATTTATTCTCACCCAAGCTCGAACTTGTGATCTTTCACCTATCAAATCAGTCACTTATCACTGCACCCAACTAACACCTGGTGAAATATTTTGCAGAATAATGTATTTATAGTAATTTGATCAACTCAACGGTTTTATTAGTTAAATCAATTAAACCGATCAAATCATGAACCAAAAATCAAAACAGTTTGACCTCCGGTTTGAGTTTAAAAACATTGCATTGATATGAGTTATTAAAGCATCCTTAGTCACTGAAAAGCATAGTTCTTAGCAGGGACGACCCAATGTAGGACCGAGGCGGTTGGGAGGGATCGGGGGGTCGGGGGAAGCTACCCCCTAAGCTTTTGAAAATTTTCAAATATGGTACATTAATTTTTATTTTTTAACAAAATTTTGTTTTTCAAGTTTATGAATTATTGGGACCATTTGAAATGTAAAGAAAATATTTATGACTTAGGTAAAGGAATCATTTCTCTCTTTGTGGTTAATTTTTAAGATATGATAATTTGGTCTAGGTAAGCAAAAATATTAAAAAAATACTCAAAATATAATTCCATTGATGTAATTTATATAAGTTTTTACATTAATTACATATAATTTTTTGGTACAATATATATTCTATGAAAATAATGGTTGAATTTATTTTATTTATATAAATCATACATTTCAAATTTAAAGTTTTTTTTATATAGGTAACCATTAAAAAAGTAAACTATATCTTTATACTATTTAATTAAAAGTTTTAAAATATCATTCAAAAATAACTAAATATATCTAATTTTCTTGATAAAGCTAAGTATATCTAATTAATTTAGAGTTTTACATACATAACTTAAGTGGTACATATACAAAATTCGTAATCAATATAAAAACTAGTATAAATTATACAAATATGAACTAATAAATAACTCACAAAAAATTTTACATAACTTGAATTTCTAGCCCGTCGCTGGTTTTTATATTAATTGAATTGGTATTGCAGACGTTTTTCAGCTCCTGTTGTAAACAAATCTAAAAGAGAAGACAAAAGACTTTACATGCTTTTTCTGTTCATCTATTTAAAAATTTTCTTTATTGAGTCATTGACAGTGGACAAGATTGAATATATGCCTTTCTTCCACTAAAATCACCAATAAACTAGAACATCTTGTTCCAAAAAGGAAATGACATAAGTTGTTAATGATGATAATTCATAAACAACTGTTTATACAGGTCTTCAGCTTCTAGCTATATTGGATATAACTCAGTAATTGAAACATCGTTTACTGAAGCCAAGGCAAGTCCATTGTTGGATTGTTGGGATTCATGCGAGGATGACATTTCTGACTGAACAGTTGTGCTTTGCAATAAATAGGCAGGGTGTGAGGGTGTTGGAAGAACTATAGAATTGCCGGTAAGCATTACAATAATTGATCCCATAGTTGGTCTTTGTAGTGGATTTTCTTGCGCACAAAATAATCCGACGTGGATGCATTTCATCATTGGGGCCGTTGAACCCGCTCTCAAATTGGTTATCTACAATATTTAGTGCAGTCCCTTCCCTCCAATTTCTCCATGCCTGCAGCAAAAAGAAAAATTAGAACACATACATCGTGAATCCGACCATCCGGCCGCCTCTTTGTTGTTAGGACATCTCTGCTGGAGTTCGGGGAGGCTGTTGGTCAGGCAAGTTTTGCAAGCATCTTGCTTTACGTCCATTCTACAGTGTCCAATTGCGTTGACCTGATCAGGACTCTTTCCAACGGTGATATTGTAGAACTAATTAAAATCCTTAGTAGAGGAGATTTGGGTGGAGAGGCGCTGGAGGTTGACCTGATAAGTACTGCCGTCGTAGTAGTTGTCATTGGTGACACATTTATACTTGAAGTTGGGAATGGCAGCAAAGCAGAGATTAACGGAAGAGAAGAAGATGAAAAGCAATTTTGAGCATCCCATTTGCCTTTCTACTAACCCACCCTTCAAAGCAATTAAATGGGTTAATCATGAAAAAATAAACCCAATTTGTTACCGAAAAAATGAACAAGCGTTTTGTCTAAAATTATGGGAATGGCTGATATCGAGCCGCCATGGACCCCCCATACCCCATCAAGTTCACAGAATTTGAATAACCGCCTGCAACCGGTGGGGGAACCACTTGCGACTTGGTTTGGGCACAAGCCCTACCCTAGCCCTCAATAAAAAAATCTAAAAGGGTATAACTCCTCTACTGTATGCATATAACCACTTGCGCTTATGGGAAACCATATATAAAAGCATTCTTTTTCGGTGGTAAGCATGGTTTTTAGATTAATTGAATTGGTATTGCAGAGTCTCATCGTCTCTTGTGAGTTATAAACAAATCTAAAAGAGAAGACAAAAGACTTTTAGTTTTCATAAAAGTGTTTTTTAATATAGATTACATTTTTTTGCAGTTTGAGTAATATAATTATCAAAATATCCTTAATGAAACTACCTACCATGCTATTTATTATCAGTGTTTTGATAATTTCACTACTCGTATTATTCAAAAAATGTGCAATCCTTGTTGAAAAACACATTTCTCTTTAGTTTTTTTGTTCTTTTGTTGAAAAATATTCTTTACTGATACTCCCTCTATTCCTTATTTTGTTGATTTAGAGATTAAAATTTGTTTTTAAATATATGTTGTTTTAGGATTTCCTATACAACATTATTTTTTTGGAAAATGATGCATGCACACCCGGATCCAACATCCGGGTCTGCACACATCATATAAAAAAAAATGTCCATCACCCGGTTCAATTTTTTTTTTTTTATGTGAGGAGAGTACACACCCAAGTGTTAGATCCGGATGTGCACCAATCATTGTCCTATTTGTTTTCTTCCAAATTTACCATTCTTACTTACCCATAATAAATACAAAAACCAGAATTAAGAAAAAGAAAGGAACGCATTTGTCCGTGATAAATGGTAAAGCATTAGAAGGGTAAAATTGTATTTTAAATGCATTTGTCCCTAGAATTAAGTATAATTAATCGATTTCCTTAATCCTCATAAAATCAGCTAAAACGACTGTTAATATGGAACAAAGGGATTACTTGACAAGATTGAATACGTACCTTTCTTTCCTTAATATCACTTTGAAACTACAACATCTTATTCCTAAATTTTAACGATAAGAATTCATAAACAATAATTTATATAGGTCTTCAACTTCTATTTATTTTGAATGAAACTCAGAATAGCTATCTTGGATGTAACTCAGAAATTGAAAAACCATTTATTGAAGCCAGGGCAAGTCTATTGTTGGGTTGTTGGGATTCATTCGAGGATGACATTTCTGACTGAGTTGTGCTTTGCAATAAATAGGCTGGGTGTGAGGGTGTTGGCAAAGCTATAGAATTGTTGGTAAGCATCACAATAATTGATCCCATAGTTGGTCTTTGTAGTTGATTTTGTTGCACACAAAGTAATCCGACATGGATGCATCTTATCATTTGAGCAGTTGAACCCTCTCTCAAATTGGGATCTACAACATTTAGTGCGGTCCCATCCCGCCAATTTCTCCATGCCTGCAGCAAAAAGAAAAATTAGAACATATTTTACACTACAGAAAACTAATCTTTCAAAATGTTGAATTTCATGTATGTTCTGTTAAATATCATGGAAAAAGATAAAAGGGACTAGAAAATGGGATGAACATGTAGAACGAAAAAATCACAACCACACCACATTGATAGTATTGATTTTTTGTCCTTGTCCCTTTTTTTTTTTTTTTTTTTTTTGGTCCCTTGAATCAATGCTCTAATCTCATACACTTACTAGACTTATGAGGTTTGCTGCATCCTCCCCATTGGAAGGAGAGTTATTCTTTCGACCACTCAAAATCCCCAAAAGCATAACACCAAAACTAAAAACATCACTCTTAATTGAGAAGCGTCCGTGCCTAACATATTCTGGAGCCATATATCCACTGCAATTCAACATTTTTAAGAATTATGAACAAAAATTTACAAAGGGTACAAAGCAATGAAATGTACATTTTAAGGTTGTGATACTTACTATGTTCCAGCAACCCTACTTGTAAAGTCATGAGTATCATCTACCACAAACAATCTTGCCATACCAAAATCTGAAATTTTTGGGCCCATCTCTTCATCTAGCAAAACATTGTTGGGCTTAAGATCCTGATGAATAACTTGTAGTTGAGAGTCTTCATGAAGATAAAGAAGCCCTCGAGCAATGCCTCCTATGATTTTGTAACGTTTTTCCCAATTTAATTGTGCCCTCTTGATTGGATCTATACATGTTCATGGTCCATGATGGCATGTGATTAAGACAAACAAAATAATTAAGAGGGAATTACTAAGATATCAATTTAGAAATATCGATTGCTTTCTTGATTACCAAAACTTAAAGGCTTATTTCGTTGAAAACATACTACCAGACACAAATGTATTTATTTATGAACACAATA